CACACACACACACACACACACACACACACACACACACACACACACACACACACCACCACCACCACCACCACCACATCATCACCATCCCACCACCACCACATCACCATCCCCCACCCCCTCGTGTTCACCTTTGAGAAGTATCCGACGATGGTGGCGCCGGTGTCGTCCCACTCCGTGAGGACGTAGAACAGAAACGGCTGCACGTCCCGCCACAGCGTCTTCGACTCGAGAAACAGCTTCGACAGCAGACACAGATTCTGGCAGTACACCTACACACGCCGTGGTGGTGGTGGTGGTTAAGTTGGGTTTTGAGTTGGGTTGAGGACGGATGCACACGAAACAGGAGTGCATCGCAGCTGCAGGGACTGCGCATGTGTACGTGTGTGCATGTGTGTGAATGTCTGTGCGCATGTGTGGGGGGTGCAAGCACACACACGTGTACCATGTGCCGACCTTCTTCTTCCCGCCATCAATTTCCCAGAGCGAGAGTTTCCCGCGCCTGTACACCTCATCCCCGGGCGGGTGGCGCGGGTGGCACGCGGTCGACTGGCCCTGTGGCAGTGGTGGCAGTGGCAGTGGCAGTGGTTGTGAACACGACACAATCAACTGTCTGGTCCGACAGATAGCGAAGCAATTTGAAAACGCATCACACCACCACCATCACCACCACCATCATCATCATCATCATCATCATCATCATCATCATCATCATCATCATCACCATCACACCGTACCACAAGCTCACCATGTGCCGTGCCAGCTGCTCTTGCGTCTTGAAGTATTGCAGGCAAAACTGGCAAACGTATATTCTCTTCTGCTTCTGGTACTCCTGTCATCATCATCATCACCATGGTGGTATGGTGATTGCGGTGGTGATGATGGTTGATTGGTGATGGTGGTGGTCGTGGTCCATACAGCAGTTGCAGTGAGATGGATGTGTTGGCTGTGATTGTCATGTCGACACCACATGACAACAAACGACTACATCGTGGTCTCCTGTCCCTCCTCGCACCACCCATTAACGCCGCCATCACCAATCAACTGCATTAACACGACCACGACCCCCACCGCCACCACAATCACCAATCAACTGCCATCACAACTGCCACTATTGTCGTCGCCAGCGTTGTGGCGATGGCGCACGCACGCACATGTGTGTGTGTGTGTGTACGCGCGCGTACCTGTGGATATGCGGAGACAAACCACACGGGGATGTCGTGCCGACCAATCACGACAGATTCAAGCTGCGAATCAACAACGCCCCTGGGGTTGGCGTGGCGGCGGCAGAGGCGGCAGTTGTTGTTGGTGGTGGTGGTTGAAGATGAGAACCAAGAGTGCTGCATACACAAATGAACACGGACTTGCACATGAACACACGCACGCACATGAAACACACTTGCACAGGATCACACGCATGCAATGAATGCTCACGGTTGGCTGTTGCCGGCGCCCGTAGTTTTGTCAGCTGTTGGGATCACACACACACACACACACACACACACACACACACACACACACACACACACACACACACACACACACACACACACAAAATAGTAGCATGTGGATGGGTGGTGAGAGGAAGAACAAGAAACGGGCACCGCAGGTTCAAGTGTGTCGTCATCGCAGTCCAAGCAAGCCAGATGTCACAGCAAAGCGCACACCTTGCTTCATGTTGACCTGTGGTTCAAATAAATGGATGTGCCAGGATGTACATATGAACGTGACAATGGTGAGAAAACAACAAAGCATTGCGAAGCGACAAACAAGCAAGCAAGCAAGCAAGCAAACAAAACCATGCATGCACACAAACATACATCGCCACCATCACAACCATTACCACATCAGCATCACCACAAACGCCACGCCACGGGCTGCGTGTGCTGACCTCGAGTGCGCGCTGTTGCGCTTCGAGAAACAAATCCTGCTCCTCCTCTGTTGGCATGAACACCTGACATGTGTCGTCGTGTCGAACATCAAGCAGCGGTGACGTGGTGGTCTACGCCATTGCACACATGTCACATGTGCCATGTGCACACAGACACACACACACACACATACCACACACACACATACCACACACACATACCACACACACACACACAGACACACACACAGACACACACACATAACACACAACACAACACAACACAACACACGCTTTCGGCGCACCTCGTGGTGTGTTTCGTAGCCGCGCTTGGTCGGGGATCCGTGGTGCGATGACAACGGCGATGCGGCGTTCACGTGTTCGCGCGAGTGCCGCCGCTTGCGCGTTGACGACAGCCTCGATGATGCTGATGCCACTGACGATGGCGTGCTCTTCTTTGATGAGGACGATGTGGAGGACGTTGATGGGCGGCGCTGCCGCTGTTTCTTCACGCTGCCGGGCGATGCGCACTTCTTTGTCAGGAACGGCGACAGCGTCGACTGAACGTGTGGATGTACAAATGTATGAGTGTACGTGTGTACGTGTGTGTGAGTATGTGTGCGTGTGTATGTGTGTGTACGTGTGTACGTGTGTGTGAGTATGTGTGCGTGTGTATGTGTGCGTGTGTGTGTACGTGCGTGTGTATATGTGTGTGTGTTCAGGGGTCAGTTCACATTCAAGTCGAAAGCACAATGCTCGACAGCCAATACAAGGGTCCCACTCCAAAGACCACGCACCCAGTTTGAAAGGTCTGTCTTGTGTGATGTTGTTGGCGACGCTGTCACTGCGCTCGTCTGCCCACTTCGCCGACTGCCCTTCAGCTGGGGCTTTGGTCGTGATTTCTTGTTGGACCTGCTGCAGTACATGTGAACGTGAGCGTGAATGTGGGTGTGTGTTTGTAAACGTGAATGTGTGTGTGTGAACATGTGTGTGTGTGAACGTGTGTGTGTGTGTGTGTGCATGGAGTTGATGGATGTACAAAGCAACGCTGTCGAGAAGGCAATGAAGAAAAGAGACAGCCGACGTTGTAGTGTAATCCCCACAACGCGTACAATCATCGTACAAACGCACACGCAGCCACAAGCACAGATGTACACACACACACACACACAAGCACACATGCAAACACACACAAAAGCACACACACACATGCAAACACACACAAAAGCACACCGAAATGGTCACCAACCAACCCGGGTGTGCGAAGGGCTTTGAGGTTCGGTGATGCGAGCCTTGTGATGTACGAACGGATGCTACCTTTGTCGATGACCTCCTCGCCATTCTCAGCACTCTCACTCTTCACCACCATCTCCTCAGCGGCATGCGTGCCATTGAGGTTCTCCTTACTCCCCTTTCCCTGCCGCTTGTTATGACCAGCCATCATCGCACCACCGCCGCCGCCAGTGTCACGGCTTGTTCGTCGTCTTCTGGTCATCGTGATTGCTGAAAGTTGGTTGAAATCATTAACAAATCCTCCACAACCGCGCCAAACTCGTGAGTTTGAACGTTGGAACATCCTCTCGCACACACACTCCCTCACACACACTCCCTCACACACACACACCCTCACACACACACACACATACACACACACACACACACATACACACACACACACATACACACACACATACACACACACACATACACACACACACACACACTCTCTCTCTCTCTCTGTGACTGTCAACTTTCCTGTGTGTCCATGCCTCCCTCTCTCCCAAACCACCCCCGCCCCCCGCTCTACAGTCTTGCATTCAGGCCACCAGGCAAGAGTCGCGTACACAGCATTATGGTGACTGGGAACTACCAAACCGAAGAGGAAGAAGAGAAAGTAAGCAAACGTGCGCAAGGAAACGGCGAGACACACGAAACAAACCAACAAGCAGGCAAGAAGCAAGCACACAGACCAACGACAACCAAAGTCAAGAGGCAAACATAAAGGGTACAATGTACGACAACGCGTCACGGCGTCAGCATAACTTGGGCCATAGGAAACGGTGGCAGAAGAGAGTACAAGCAAAGCAAAGGCACACACAAAGGGCAATAGGTGACACAAGCAATGTTTCGTGTGTATGCTTGCGGGGGTGTTTGTGTGAGACACAAAACACACACAACACACACAAAACACACACACACACACACAAAACACACAAGCACACAAACACACCAACACCTACACATACGAGTACAAGAGAGTGAGCGAGTTGGCTGTGGATGCACTGCGCTCAGCAGCAGCCGCCATCTGTCTTCTCGCGGTCCTTTGGATTCGTGTCCTTGATGTCAAGCACATCTCCATCGCTGTGTGGCGAGTCCTGTCGTTGTTGGTGTATTGTGTTGTTGGTGTTTTTGTTGTTGTTGCGGTACAGATGTGTGTGTGTGTGTGAGCAATACAGTACACGTCCAGTCCTTCTTCCCCCGTCTCCTCCGTCTCCTCTTCTCACCCTACGGTCCCACCACTTTCCATCCAGTTGAATGCCTGCAGGCAACGGGTGTGAGCGTGGTCGTACCGGTTCCTTCTCGAGGATGTTCTGCACGAGACAGTTGACCGCCTCCTCAATGTTCTTGTTCAGCTTCGCAGACGTCTCAAACCACGACACAAAGCCCTGAGAGTTGTTGTTGTTGTTGTTGTTGTTGTTGTTGTTGTTGTTGTTGTTGTTGTTGTTGTTGTTGTTGTTGTTGTTGTTGTTGTTGTTGTTGTTGTTGTTGTTGTTGTGGAGATGAGCCAGTGTGCAGGCGGGGTGGAACTCGACAACAATCACATCACATCAAGTCACATCACATCACAATACATCACATCACATCACAATACATCACAATACATCACAATACATCAAACACAAACACACACAGACACACAGCCAAAGCAAGTACGTCCCCGCTCCACCCTTCATCCTCAACCCCCCCCCCATTCTTCCCCAACAGCTGTGCGCCGCACCATGTTTGCACAGTACTCCTGCATCTCCTCTTGCGTCCTGAATCCCTCAACCGCAAGATCGCACTTGTTCGCCATCAGCACAACAGGTATCTTCGACCCGTCCGGCAGAAACACCTTGCGTGGAATTGGCGGTGGGCAGTGGTTTGGTTGGTGAGCAGTGGTTGAAAGCAAGTGGCACACACGCGACTTTGAGAACAGTTCGCACAGAAAGAGAGAGAGACAGAGAGAGAGAGAGAGAGAGAGAGAGAGAGAGAGAGAGAGAGAGAGAGAGAGAGAGAGAGAGAGAGAGAGAGAGAGAGAGAGAGAGAGAGAGAGAGAGAGAGAGAGAGAGAGAGAGACAGAGAGAGACAGAGAGAGACAGAGAGAGAGAGAGAGAGAGAGAGAGAGAGAGAGAGAGAGAGAGAGAGAGAGAGAGAGAGAGACACACACACACACACTCACGCGCACACACACACGCACACACACACACACAACACAAACACACAACACGCAACTACCTTTGCGTCAATGTCCTCCTTCCACGTCTTGACAGCCTTAAACGTGTCCAGACGTGTTACATCAAACACGACAAACGCCCCCACGGCCTCCTTGTAGTACACGCGCGTCATGCTCCCGAACCGCTCCTGGCCTGTTGTGTGTGTGTGTGTGTGTGTGTGTGTGTGTGTGTGTGTGTGTGTGTGTGTGTGTGTGTTGTGTATGCGTGTGTGTGTGTTGTGTATGCGTGTGTGTGTATTGTGAATGTGTATGAGTGTATTGTGTGTGTGTGTTGTGTGTATTGTGTATGTCAGCGTGGTGACCCTTCACTCAAGCACACAGTCGAACGATGTGCCCTATCCGCACGCAAACGCGCGCATGCATCATGCACGCAGGCGCAGATCAACGACACCAACACTCCCTCTCTTCCTTTCTCATGCACACACACACGCACCTGCAATGTCCCACAGTTGCAGCCGCACAGTTGTGTTCTCGTTCACTTGCAACACTGTAAATACATCAACCGACACAACACCGCAGCACGGGTGAGAAACGGGCACGGCGTCAGCACTCTGGCCCCATCAATGGTGCACACACACTCACACGCACTCACACACACTCACACACACACACACACACACACACACACACACACACTCACAGAGCACACACAGAGCACACACAACTACTCCCCCCCCCCCTCTTCTCTCTTTACTTCAGCAAACTGACCCTTGAGTGCAAAGTCGACGCCGATGGTGGCCTTGTACTTGTCCGAGGCAACGCCGTGCACATACCGCTTGATGAGGCTCGTCTTCCCCACACCGCTGTCGCCAACAACCAGCACCTTGTACAGAAGCTCCCGCATGTCCTCGTCAGCCTGCGTGTCAAAGCGGTCAGCATTGGCGGGGTCGTGGTCGTGTTGCGGAGACATGATGGTGTGTGGGTGAGTTGAATGAACACGTGAGTGCGAGGCGAAGGTGGTCACGCAGCCGCTATCGCTACGCATGCGGCTCATCGCGCACAAATCTTCCGCAATAGACAGATGGAAGAAGGCACACAGCTGGGGAGGGGGGAGGCGGAAGCTGGAACTGATCGACAGTGATTCAAGCAATGGTGGCGACAAACAAACAGCAGAGAGGACTGCGGTGCAGTGGCAGAGGTTCAAATGGAAATGAAGCGCTAAACACTTTGGCAAGCGAGATCGCAACCATGCAGCAGCTCAAGCACGCAAGCGCGGCAGGAGTCATCTGGAGCATGGAGCAACAGCCTTGTCTTGACTCATCCATAACAACGAAAGCACACAAACAAACAAACAAACACACACACACACACATACAGCTCTGGTTTGCTCAGTGACGCTCACCATGCTGTCGGTTGTGCCTTGTGTACAGTCTTGTGGAGAAACCTACAACGAACGAAGAGGAAGAAGAAAACGGAGAACGAGAACACTAACGAAGGACGAGAAACGGGGTGCACCGTCGAAATAAATTGAGCGAAAAAAGTCCTGTGCGTGTACGCCTGCTCATCAAGCATACAAGTGAAGCGTCGGGAAGGCGGGCCAGGCAGGCTGGGACATCAGCAAGATCAACAAAAAAAAATGGAGCAACGCGACCGTGGGTGGCTTGACACACACGAAAGTGACATGCGACACGAAAGTGACATTCGACATGGGAGTGCACGTCGCAACCAATCCAGCACACAAACAAGGGACACACAACAAACGGATTGATCTCTGTACTCTTTGGCGTCAGCACTTGAGCACGCACACACACATCGACACATACACACACGAATACACACACGTACGCATACACATACACACACATTATGCTGTGCATGCACCCTCCCTCTCAACCACACGCACACACACACACACACACATCACAGAGAGAGACACACCTGCTGTAGAAATGTGTGTCGTGTTTGTTGTGTTGGCGTGGGTGCGATGTGTTTGGAGGAATTGCTGATTTCCATGTATATCTTCCACCATTTCTCGATGCCTGCCGCAAGGCCACAACACAACACCCAAGTGGCGGCAAAAAGGCAAGAGGTAAAACACGAGTGACGAGCAGTAAGCAAGCAGCGAAGACAGACCCGACACGCACACCACACACACTCATACACACACACCACACACTGTCTCTCTCATACACACACACAAACACACACACAAACACACACACACACACAAATATACATACACGCAGTCACAACCATGGTTGACATCAGCCTGCGGAGTTCGGTGGCGTTCTGTGTGTTGTGTGGCGCGTTCTTGCTGCTGGCAACGTTCAAGGACACGCTGGTGAACATCCCGGCCACTCCACCGCACACGCCACAACAACGACAGTTCGGCCAGCCACTGGCCACACCAACAGTTCTGACAGTTGCAGTTGAAAGCGATCACGAGTCGCGTGTGGCGGCAATCTTGCGGAGGCAAGGTGCACTCAGTGCTGACAATGCAGCCAGCAGTGACAGTGCCCACAGCACCGGCGATACTGCCAGCCCCGACCCACCACCACACGCTCCCACACCTCAACAACCACAGCCGCAGCTAAGCAACGAGAGTGAACCTGTGCCATGGGTGGCGGCGGCCAAGACAACACACAACGGTGGCGTGACGAACAAAGGCATGAACCAAGCAGCGCTGCAAGGTCCCATCCCGGAGCACATTAGCGAGGACCCGCTGTGGGAGCAGACAGCGCGGGAAACGTGCAGCCTCAACTTCACGGCCATCATCCGACACCAGCTGGGGCCCTGGCTGGAGTCGGGCATCAAGCAAGCGCACGTGGACGACCTCTACTGCCAACGCAAGCACGTGGCGCGCATCTCATATGTGGGCGGGGAGCTGCGCTACGGCAGCTGGCAGCTTGGCATGGACGTGAACCGCCTGCGGTCTGCGCTGTGGTTCATCCACCTGGCGACGGAGCGGGCGAAGCTGCGCGGCAACCCCATCCCGCCGTTTGAGGTCGTAATCAACCCGACAGACAAGACGAGCGAGTACGGTATTGGCGGGACGACGCTTGGCGGCAAACGGCGGCCGCTGCTGTGCAACGCAAAGTGCGACGGCGACGCGTCCATCTCCTTCCCCATCATGTTCAACGCGGCGTTTGGCACCGGCACGGGCGAGATGTCGCTCGCGCTGTACCGCCACAAGTACAGCGAGCTGGTGGCGATGGGGCGGCCGGGCGAGTGGCACGCCAAGATCCCAAAGATGTTCTTCTCCTCCACCAACACGCGCGGCCACCGCGCAGCCATCTTCGACTCGGAGCACCCGGGCGTCGTGGCGCTGCCGGAGGTGGTCCCTATATCGCTGTACGGCGACTTCCAGTACCTCATCTACGCCTTTGGGCACAGCGGGTGGTCACAGCGGTTACGAGAGCTCGCCTTCATGGACGCTGTGCTGTTGCTTGAAGAGTCACAGTGCCGGGAGTACTATCACGACGTGTTCACGCCGCACGTGGACTACATTCCCGTGGCGGAGGATTTGTCCAACCTGGACGACGCGTTGGAGCGTGCAATGAGCGGACACGACCGCCGCATGGCGCAGCGCTGGCGGGCAAAGGGATATGAGGTGCTCTCGCTGCCGTGTGTCCTCGACTACGTTGAAGGGTTGCTGAGGGAATACGCACGCCTGCAACGCTTCGCGCCACAGCAGCGACCAGACCACCGCCCATATGCGATGACAGACCCATTGTCCGTGTTTTCGCACCGGACAGAGCCGCCGGACGCGCACACGTGCACACGCGCAGCGCAGGCGTAACCATTTTGTTGGGGGGGCCGTGAGGTGTGTGTGTGCGTGTGCGTGTGTGTGTGTGTGTGTGTGAGTGTGTGTGTGAGTATGTGTGTGTGTGTGAGTATGTGTGTGTGTGTGTGTGTGTGTGTGTGTGTGTGTGTTATGGATAGACAAACAGAGGCGCAGCAGGGTATGTGGACGGTGGCAGCGCGTGTGATACATCTGTATTTGTGTTACAGCGGTGACGCAACCAGCCCACGACCCAAACGGGCATGTAACATAACTGCACTATCGTAAACGAAAAACAGACAAGCAACAGTCACTCATGGCACCAAACACAAACCACAGACACACACACGCACACACACACACACACACACACAGAGGAATCACACATACACATGCGGCGAGAAAAAGTAACTACCAAAAAACACAACGACAAGATGGTGGTAATGGTTGCTGCTGTGTTGTTGTGTGGTCAATTCAAGTGTTCACGTATCACCATCGTCTCGTCCAAAGCACCAGAGCACCAGAGCACCACGATCGAAAGGACAAACATCATCAATGGATGCAATGACCAAATGCCCAGCAGCCCATCGCCGAAATCCCTGGTCGGGGTCACGCCTCTGCATCTGCATCTCCCTCGAGGGTCCAGGGTGTTGGGCGCGCACACGGCTTGGCCAGGCTGCAGTCGAAGCGTGGAAGGGAGGGGGGAGGGATGGTGGTGGTGGTGTTGGTAGTGGTGTTGGTGGTATTGATGTTTTGTTGGTAAAGGCGAGTCAGTGAGGAGAGACATGTGAAGCAGTCGCATCAAGGAGGAACACACAATTGCACACACACGCACACACACGCACACACACACACATACACACACACGATTGCATGCATGCACACCTTGTCTGCATGCCGTTTGGTGCGTCGGTGTGGTGGGCGATGAGATCAACGAGCGAGCGGTGTTTCAACAGCGGCGCCGCCGATGCAATCCACGCCCCATCCACATACGCAATCTGAGTTCATGTGAGTGTGAGTGGAATGAGTGAGTGAGGACACGTGTGTATGCGTGTGTTAGATGTACGTGCACGTGCGTGTGAAACAACAACAACAACAACAACAACAACAACAACAACAACAACAACAACAACAACAACAACAACAACAACAACAACAACAACAACAACAACAACAACAACAACAACCACCACGACCAACACCAGCACAGCGCTGCCAACCTTGTTGTGGTAGCAGCGCCCGCCAAACGTGAGGGAGATGATGAAGATGTCTTCTTCGCGCGTGCTCTTACGAACGAGAAATCGCCCGTCCACGGGAACAGACAGCAGTCGCGCCTCAGCCTCCTGCACGACGCGGAACAGGGCGGGCGAGGGATGTTGAGGGGTTGAAGGGTACATGATCGATTGTGGTGATGATAGTGATGGGAGGAGTGCACAAAACTCCTTGACAAGTAACTGTTGGTGCAACCTTAAGCACGCACAGAGTCAGACAGGCAGGCAGGCAGACACACAGGCAGGCAGATGCACAGTCAGGCAGACAGGCAGGCAGGCAGACAGGCAGGTAGGCAGACACACAGTCAGGCAGACAGGCAGGCAGGCAGACACATGCACACACACACACACACACACACACAGACAGACACAGACACAGACACAACACGCACACAGTCCCTCGCCCTGCGTGCTGACCTCACGGGAGATTGCGCCGTGGTACCAGCGGTGGCACTGGAAGGGCGTGGCCTTGAGCGGATACTGCTGCGACCGAACCATCTTCAGGAGCACATCGTGCACCGTCGAGCACTGATGATGATGATGATGGTGATGATGATGATGAGGGAAAGATGGAGTCGGAGACGCCAACAAGGAGAAAAGTAAGAAGTGGGCGAGAGGTGAAGCAACGCATCACAACACACACACACACACACACACATGATCGTGAGCGACAGTGCACGCCTGCAGCAGAAGCACTCGAAGACCACATTCGCACCAAATCACAACGACAACATCCTCTCCACATCACCACATCGCACCACCACCGCCACCATAACATCACCACATCACGTACATCCGGCACGTCCTGTCCGCCAATCCTGAGGGCACCGCGCTTGCTCATGCGTTCAATGAGAATGTTGCACACTTCACCGCCGCCGTTCACAAACGACACCGCCCACGCCTTCGTTGGCAGGCGCTGGCCCTGACGTAGTGGTGGCGGAGGGGGAGACGAGGGTGCAAGAGAGGGAGTGAGCAAGTGGGAGCAAGTGGGAGCAAGTGTAAGTGTGTGTGTGTGTGTGTGTGTGTGTGTGTATGTGTGTGTGTGTGTGTGTGTGTGTGTGTGTGTGTGTGTGTGTGTGTGTGCGAGTGTGGGGTGGAAACGAAGACGGGCATTGTCACATCACCAATCCACACCACCACCACCAACACCGTGACCACGCTCGCATCTCCGTCATGAGCGATACCGGTTTGCGTTTGAACGATCCGCCTGGACGCATGTCCTTCTCGCGCACGAGAAACAATCCGGGGGTGGTGCCAGCCTGCACGGTGTGGTGTGCGGTGCATGATGGTGTGATGGTGGCTCGTTGGTTGGTGCGCTTAAGAGCAAGCTGCACACAACGGAGACACACACGCAAACAGACACAAATAGACAGACAGACACACGCATGCACACATGCACACACGCAAACAGACACAGGCACACACACACAGACGCACAGACAGACACACAGACACACACAGACAGAAACAGACACAGCACAGACACAGACAGAAACAGACAAACACAGCAAGTGTGCGCACCATTCTGAGGTACGCCGCGGCCTCTGCGCGTGTGTTTGCGAGACAAAAGTAATCGGGGAGAGTGGACTTGGCGCGAAAGGCAACTTGGCGCACCTCATCCTGATGAGGAATGATCGGAGATGGCAATGGCGATGGTTGCATGGAGGTGATATGTGGATATGAATGAACTTGGAGCGGCTTGGAAATAAGGGTGGAGGGGGAGGGAGGGAGGAAGACAGCGAGAGGAACGCATTCAAAGAGCCCACTCACCAATTCACCTCCTCATGTCCTCACACTTCCCTGACCCACTCACCCACCTACTCACTCGCGCCACTCCACCCCCACCCCTCTTCGCACATGATTGACCCACCGGCACGGCGCGTGTATCGCTGCCTGTGCTCGAGGTGCTGGTGGTGCGAGGGTTGCGCATGGCAAAGCTGCCGGAGCGAAAGCCGCGCTGCGTCAAGCGAAGGGACTGCTTCATCTGCTGTCGCTTCATCTGATGTTGATGGTGCGAGAGAGAGTGTGTGTGCGAGGGGGGGGAGAGAGAGAGAGAGAGAGAGAGAGAGAGAGAGAGAGAGAGAGAGAGAGAGAGAGAGAGAGAGAGAGAGAGAGAGAGAGTGTGTGTGTGTGTGTGTGTGTGTGAGT